TACACATGTAAGGTTTAATGTTTTAAAACTTATTCCAAACGAAGACCTTTTGTGTTTTTTCCCATGTAACAGACACAGTTGTAAAAAAAACAACCTTAGATCTCATCAGAGACTGATTCTGCTTCTTGTAGATCTAACTATTATCTCACCATTTATCACAACCTTTTATGCAATTGTTCCATAATTAACTTAGTTTCAGTGGTGCTAAGCTGTTTTATTTTTTTAAACGGTGAGCAATAATGTTGCTGGCTTAAATGTCTTTGATACTCAGTTTGATTTATTTATTAACGACGGTGCTGCAGCTTTTTAAATGAGTCTCTGCTGTTATGTCCTTGACAGTGTTGCCTTAGGAACCAATGTGCTGTGTGTATTGGCAATCCCCAATGATTTTGAAGCTAACGCTAAGATCGCTTACAGAAGGTCTTCCAAAATAGTTCAGCCTGTGATCCCAAAAGTAACAATGCAAAATCCAAATTACTTTCTCTATATTTATGTACGCATAAAAAGTAAAGTCTATTAATTCTGAATATTTTTAAAGTGACAACATAAGTATCCAATATCTTTTAATAAATGGTAGAATTGTTGCAAGTTTTTTAAAGCAGTGTAGTTTAAATAAATCAAATTTTCTATAGAAATAGGCCCAGAAATGAACTGTGACCTCTTTAACAACGAGAGGATTAAAGGGATGGGAGCGGCAGCATTCATTTACTCACAGTCTCTCTAGTGCAGTGTATTCAGAGAAAACAAAGTCGGACAGAACTCTGATCCTGTTGCTCTTTAGAGACCTGAAATAAAAGCATAAGACAGACATAGTGAGAATAATGCTAAACACATTAATCATGAAGAGACTTATAGTACAGTGAGTTGGAGGAAAGGGTGAAAAGTCTGAAGCAATATGTGCTTTATTTGATCACACAAAAATGTCTGCTGCATTATTATTCAGAATATTATTCAGTTTTAATCATTTTTTTATCTACAGAAGGAAAGAACCATCAACCAGAGCACTGAAGCACTTTAAAGTTTAAAGAAGTCTACCATCTGAAAAATGTAATACATTAAGTATAGGAACATTTTCGCTTTCAGAGAATAATCTTCCACAGCCTCAAACACACAAAGGAACGGTTAAAGCCAGACTCCTTAAAAGAGACTCAAGCTGAGGGACAGAAAATTCCTACTAAAACTTCCAACCATTGATTCGTACAGAAGAATGTCGGACTGATTGCCTTTATCTCTGGTTTCCCCACAAGCATTAAGAAAAATAAAAATCACAAAACTATACATTCACTTATTGGCAGTAAATGGCTCACTTTTACACTTTTAAAATGTATGCAGCCCTAATTATCAAAGGAAATGTCGCACACATATATCAGAAAAATTAAAGGATCCGAGGACCTTATATTAAGGAAAAAACCTATTTAAGTAAGTATTAAAACTTTCACAAATGTAGTTAAATAAAGGAAATTAAAAGTGGGAAATAGAGACATGACATAAAGGTTATGCTGACATTTTCTGAAGAACATTTGGATGAACTAAGGCCAAAGAAAGCTCGCCCAATAGTAAATTACTGACGGTATAAAAGAGAGCAATAAGACTGACCTTTCCTGGAAAGTGATTAATCATTTACAAAACTGAAAGTGATTTTATTAATCAATGCCCCATTTACACGTTCTGTTAGCGCTAAGAAAGTGAAAAAATATATAATTCTGAAATGGTAACTGTATTTCAATAACATAATCTTTGATCACATCAATGCAAATACTCAACTAAATAACAAAAACACTGCAAACAACACCTTAAAAAGTTACAGTTATTTGGAGGAAAGAAAATAAAACAGGCTCTTGAGTGATTTACAGTCAGGTCCACTAAACCTCAAGAAAAAAAAATGATTTAAATAAGATAAACTAATATATTAGGTGAGAGATGAACTAGAACTTAAGTGACTGAATCAAAAAGCAATGATAAGCCTCTAAAAAGGTTATTGTGTTTTACGATATTTCACAGTTCTTTGAAAAAGTCAACCGTCCTGATAGCGAAAAAAAAGAGAAGATTTTAAATGTCACATTAAAAGGCTGCATAATGAAAGCTTGGAAAGGTTTCAGTGCAGCATTCCCATGTCTGAGTTCAAAAGTCAGACACAACTAACAGAACTGGTGTATCATTAGTAAAGCAATCTGGGCTACTGCACAGTCAGCCAAAGAACAAATGTATCATAGCCTTTGTTTTTAATTTGGTATCAAACAAATCAAATGTTTATACTAAAACTTAACGAGTAATCTTGTCACAGCTCTAATGTTCGACACTAACAAATCAAAAATAGGTGGAAAAAGGAAGATAAGATTCTATTGTGTTGCAGAAAGACAACAAAAATTATGTGTTTCCTTAAAATGTCACTCACATAACTCGAAAGGGATAAATGTTATCACCCTGCCAAAAAGATATTTAGATTATAGTATTTGCACATCTATTCAGGAGAAGTAAAAATCTTTCATTTTAATTGAGTTAAAAACTGTATCACCTGTTTAGCAGTGCTGTGCACGGAACATTTATTTCTAAATTTTAAGCAAATACTCTATCATCCTCCCATTTTTGTAATCAATCTTACAATATTTAAGTCATGTATAAATAATTAAGAATTTGCATTCTTAAACTAATTTTATAGATATCTATTTTTTTTTATTTTGCCTACTTTTATGTTCCCAAACTTTATTTTTAGCTTAAAGAGACATTATGTTAGGTTTTTTCTGAAAAATATCTTAAAAATAGCCTTTTTATTTGACTCTTTCGAACTAAAACATCGTTTAATGAGCAGACGGACACCTCAACAGTTTAGAGCTGATGCATCTTTAAGCCTCTAGCCTATTTTCCAAGAATTTACTTTGTGTCAAAAGTTCCCAAGCTCATTGGCGGATGTGACGTCAAGCGTGTCCATGTTAAAAGGATCCAACCAGGCAAGCAATGGAAGCGTTATATTTAGGATGGATTTTGTGGATACTCACAAGCGACCAGATTCGATTTTCAAGTAATCTCCCTAAATAATTTTCAATAATTTCATATACATGTTTCAGGCAGAACCTTATGGCTACAGGCTTATGCCTATGAAAGCAAATCTTTTGGACTATCATCTAGCTCTAGGACATCTGTTAACAGAGCTTTAGTGGTAAAACAGGATACACACACACATACACACACATAAACAGTAGCAACCAGCATCCAGCTCAATTTTGGCACCAATCGCAACTCCAGGTAAGGTTAAAAAAGTAAAAAAAACCTGTTAATTTGAAGCTTGAGCTATGAAAATAAGCAAAAGTGCTGCAGTTCTGTGCTTTAGCCACAAGTGGCAGCATCATTAGAAAACTTTGAAATGCTTCTTTAAAGTTTGTACCTTTGAAATACGTTTTTTGCCAACTTTAACAAGGAAAGTGTCTATCACAGGGAACATGCGCACACGTAACGGCAATTTAGAGACACTAATGAAACAAACAGTCCAGTTTAGGACTGGGGGAGGAAGCCAGAGTAGCTGGATATCAAACTCAGAACCTTCTTGCTGCAAACCGACAGTGCTACAAACTGTGCCATCACAAGGTGCATGCTTCATTACACTCACAAACACATTTTTATAAATCCTAAACAATTGCATATACATGAGCCCATAAAGACTTTTCAAAATAGTTGCGATATTCTGGCATCCATGCTGCCTGTGTTCCTTTCTACTTTTATCCCAAACTTTTTTTTTTACTTTTTAACTCTATTTGTAGTAAAATTGAACTCTAATTCTTCTGTCATCTTAAAGCAACACTGTATAAAGTTTGACCCAAGCATTAATTTTAACTAATAGAGAGAGTTATTGTCTCAAATCATAACAACACAAACAAGATACCTCCCCTTCCATCCACCACCTGTTCCGATAGTGCTGTGCAGGTTGCCAACTTAAGAGAGATGAGGACATAGCGCAGCTAAATTTAGAATCATGAGTGAATACGGTTTAACGTCTGTAGGTTGTTTTGCAAATACTTTGGAAGTATACTGAGGCTTCTTCTGTATTTTTAACACTATTTCTGGTCCGATTCTCTTCCATGTTTGAAGTCTGTTGCTTTTTAGACAAATGCTGTGCTCTGTTTTGGCAGTCTGGGAATTCATATATTATCGACTCAGGAATTGGGAAGTAGACATGGACTTACACCACATCAAAGAAGTTCTGGACCATACCTTTTGATCTGAGATATATTAAATGGCATTAATGATCTATTTTTTTTTTATATACAGTATTTGTTGTATATACTGCTGATGCTCTGTGCAGGTTGACCTTCTCAGAAGTTTGACTCTGTAACTTTAGAGGGACGGATTCACCACTGAATGAGTGATGTAACCGCAAGCGCGGCTTTACAGCAATCGGAGCTGCTCTTGAACACAAGAGCTAAGCCTGTAAAATTTGTTAGGTTGAACAGATATGGCTCCTGATCAGACGTATGTTGGTTCTCTAATGCAGGATTTAATCTCCAGTTGTGAATGTGGCCTAGCGTACTAGTAACTCCATGACTCAATCTGCTATCAGCTTCCAAATCACAGAGCCTGTTTAATTTAGCAACAGTGCAAATTTGTCAGCTGCTTTTAGGGACGCTAATAACTGATTCCAGTGGGTGCATCCTGAAATTATTGGTAAAATGCTGGCAACCCAGCTTTCAACAATCTGATTTGAATTTAATCAGTTAAAAGTATTTAAGGCAATTTGGTTAAGAGTTACATACAGTAATGTAACTGACAAAGGGCCACATTTTTTGTTCTATTATTTAAATGATAATCTTTTAAAATGCTGCACTTTATGAGAATATCAGTAATTCATGCATTTCCCAGCTTCAGAGGGTGCAGAATGCTGCTGGACTTTTTTTAACAGGTACAAGCAAATTTGACCACATTTCCCCTATTTTAGCCTCATTACATTGGCTACCAGGAGATTTCATTTTAAAATCATTTTATTGCTTTTAAAGCTCTTAATTGTCCTCCCCAACCTACCTGTCTGAGCAGCTTTATCCCTACACACCCTCTCGCTGCTTTAGCTCAGCTGACCAGTTGTTACTGAGGGTGCCAAAGACAAAACGCAAGCTCGGAGGAGGCCGTGCTTTTTCTGTTGCAGCCCCTAAGCTGTGGAATGATCTTACCTTGGCCATTAGACTGGCCTATTCACTTTATGATTTTAAATTTCTTCTTAATACCCATTAATTTTTCTTTGTTTTTAACACGTCTGAGATGTTGACTTTGTTTTACTGTGTCTTTTATTATTTAATCATTGCTTTTTGTTTTATTACTACTTTTATACACCACTTTATTGTTTTTATCATTTATAATTTGTATTTTATGATTGTGTATAGCATTTTTGTGTAGTTGGGGCTGAATTGCTTTATAGATACATTTTGTATGGTGGGGTAGGGTATGGTAATTACAGTGATATGCATTTATATTACCTACTGTATATGTGGCATGCAATCGAATAAATAATTTACATATGTCACACTGTAAAATTTTACATAGCAGAGGGTCCTTGTTACTCTGGCTTTGTTCCTTCTAAAAGACCCAGGAGGAAATTCAAAAGTAAGTGGGAAGAAGTGCTTAAGATTACTCTAAATGTAACCTGGAGGGTCATACAGTACTTAGAGCGAGGCTCTAAATGGAAACAGCAGCCCTTTCATAGCGATCACTACCAAGTGTATAATAAAAAGTAGGCCAGTTCATCATTCATTTCTTGAAAAGAATCCTTCCGATTTATGTTTTTCTAGCTTTTTTTCAGATG